GAGTACAATTTATAAAAGAAATAACAACAACTAATTGTTTAAACATTTAAATAAATTGTTATACTTTTTTTCATACATCAGAAACACTCAAACATTATTTTAATAGAGTTTTTTGATTAATTTTCTTAATTAAGGTATTTGTCGCGTAAATTCGTTTTCGTCAAATTTTTTTTAAATTTCACATAATTATTCTTTGGATATTTATCTACAAAATAAGGCCTATTAAAATAAAATTGACCGTCTGTAAGTCTCAAAAAATGAAATCAAAGTTTCGATTTTTAACATGTAAGGGTATAGGAAAACCATATGAAAACCACAGATTTTTAATTTTTGCACTTATACTAATCGTCAGATTTTTTAGAAAAACTAAAGTTTCATTTATTGAACCAAAATGAACTTTTATAAAAAAAATGAAAATTTTTCACCGTCTTGTTTAAAAGATATTTAACGTCAAACTTGAAAAATTATTTTAACAATTACTGTAAATGACAGGTGAATTCGTAAACGTGGCAATAGCGCTTGTTAAATACTACAGCTTGTCTGCTACTTTTGGCGCGAAATTTTAAAGGCGGCCATACGCCAAACTTGCGACGTTGCCACGATCGTTTTTCATGCGAGAGGTTATGAATATACATTGAGAACATCTGTATGTCAAACTGTACGTCCGCAAAAGTTTTTCGGAAACTCGCATTCATAATCGTTTCATAAGTACAGTCAACGAATACAAACTTTTGACAGTGACCAGTCGCGCGACAAATACCTTAATGAAGTTAAAAAAAAATATTTTCTATCTTTTTATGTTTTTTTAATACTTATTGTTATTAAGGGCATGTCCAAGGTGTAAAATGTAAACAAACCAAAAGGTAAACAAACCAAGCACTAAAATCGCTCTTTTGTAACAGACGTTTCTCTTACAAAAATTAATATTTTTTCACATTCTTTACAAAAATGGAAAATTAGAGTGTCAAAGTGTCCAATAAAATCATTCTTGACTATAAGAAATAAAACGCAATTAGTAAATTAACTAATTAAAATTACCTGTAAAATAGCATTTTTGACGCGTCGCGAAAAATAAACTGCTTGAGTATATCAACCGCACTGACGATGAAGAAGTCTCATGTCAGCGATTGGACCTTCAACATGTGGAAAGGGAAATTTTTCCCTTTCCTCCTTGAAATTACAAGAGAAAGGGTAAAAACTTCTTCATCGTCCGTGCGGTTGATATAGTCAAACAGTTTAATTTTTCGCGACGGTAACTCTGTTGCTCGCTGCGCGTGCGCAGGCTGTACCAAGGTCACAATGATATCACCATGCGAAAATGCACATTTTGTTTTCGACTATAACTTTGTTGTTTTCTCATGCTTTCAGCTATGCTAGGTATAGTTACCAAACTCAATACTTTAGTTAACCATTTCCATAAAGAAAATATGAATTTATATTTATTTATGCAAATGAGATGGTCGAAAAAATGCTTCTCTATTCGGTCTATAGTGAAGCATTTTTTCGACCATCTCATATGCATAAATAAACATAAATTCACATTTTCTTTATGGAAATGGTAAACTAAAGTATTGAATTTGGTAACTATACCTAGCATAACTAAAAAAAATGAGAAAATAACTAAGTTTCATTCGAAACAAAATGTGCACTTCTGCATGGTGCTGCACGGAGAGAAATTTATAGTAGTGGGTAACATAATGATGGTTAGGGTGACCATCTTTAATGCTACGTATACAGACAGCTATCTAGATTGTAGTATTTACTATCAAAAGATTATTGAAATTTGATTGTACAGGTAACAATCTTTGATGTTAAAAATGGTTGGTTGGGGTTATACCATCAGAGATTATTGCCAATCGCCAGAAGAGGGCAGAAGTATGCAGAGCGAGCACAATGTCCGAGCTGTCATATACTTTGAATTACATTGCTTTCCAATTTTTCATTTTATAATACCGTTTACGCATGGATTTGAACAATCTTTTCGGTTATTATATTTTAGAAGACGGTTATTCAGTGCATGCAAGCAGATTTTGTAAAAAGTGTCTGTGTTCAGAGAAAACTTTGTTAGAAAATGTTTGTTTACCTATTTCAGGTCTTTTTTCAGTGCCGTTCTATTGGGCGATAATATCGGAAATCTCATTTAACCTACAAATTTCAAAGACTTTACAACACTTAAAAAAATTTATTGTAAAATGAGAATAACTTGTGCAAGCATTGACCTGTCATTTTAAAAGAAAATCCAATCGTTTGAAATTTTGAGGTTATAAACATGTATAAATTTTATAGTCTTTGATTAACTATAATAAAAATAATTAACTGACAATAGTTGGAATCAAAGGTTCCACATTCCACAACACTGCAATATTTTTTACAAAATTGTCCATTTTAGATGAATCCGAAAACACTCACGAATTTTTTCAATTGCATTGAAACGTGTTGTCATAGTTAAACTTTGACAATATTTGATAGTAGTGACTACAATCAGAAAGTTAGTATATTTATATGATCTCGGGTAACATCTTAGATTGTAAAAAGTGGATAGTAGATTGTACCCAGTAACATAATGATGGTACCACGAACAATCTTTTTTTTAACCATCAAATTCCAACTATCCATTTCTCTCAGTGTGTCAATGCATTCTTAGTATGGTCTGCGCACGCGCAGAGAGCAACAGAGTTCTCGTTGCGAAAAACTAAAGTGTTTGACTATATCAACCGCACGGACGATGAAGAAGTTTTTACCCTCTCTTGTAAAAAAAAGGAAAAATTTTTCTTTCCACATGTTGAAGGTCCAATCGCTGACATGCAACTTCTTCATCATCCGTGCAGTTGATATACTCAAACAGTTTATTTTTCGCGACGCGTCAAAAATGGTATTTTACAGGTCATTTTAATGAGTTATTTTACTAATTGATTTTTATTGCTCATAGCCAAAAATGATTTTTTTGGACACTTTGAAACTCTAATTTTCCATTTTTGTAAAGAATGTGAAAAAATATTAATTTTTGTGGGAGAAATGGCTATTACAAAAGTGCGATTTTAGTGCTTGGTTTGTTTACCTTTTGGTTTGTTTACATTTCACAACTTGGACATGCCCTTAAAACATGTTTAAAAACAAAAATTCAAAAATTAGGCTTGAAAGATCGATAGAGAATTTAATAACGAAGATTTAAAAAAACGAAGAAGTATTTTGTAGAGCGCTTGCACGTCGCTCTTTAAAATTATGTCATTTGCTCAATTTTTAAAGGTACTAAATTTTTTTTTTGAAATTAAAGTGTAGAAAACATAGATTTTTGTAGTTTTTGAATTTTTTTCGTAACTATTCCAGAAGTCACTTAAAACTTTAATTGTTTAATTAATTAACAATTTATTTTGCATAAATAATCATGACATTTTTAAATTCTTGTTGTTAGGCATTATTTTTGTATATTTCTACCAAATATTATTAAATTTTAACAAAAAACAACAAAGCAATAGTGAATTTTCTAAAAAGGTACTTTAAAGTTTAATTGTTTCTAATCAATTGAAAAATTAAAATTTTTGAAAACGCATTAAGGGAATGGTTTTGCACTTCCCGGTTGTAACAAATTATTTATAGTCATAATTAATTGAATTCTTTTGACGACTTTTAATAACATTTTTAAGAATAATTACATTTTTCGAGGGATTCGGTTAAAATTGTATTAAAAATAATTAAAATTCTGCAATAAGTTTCATTTTTTATGAAAATAATTGAATTATTGCGAAGAATTTTATAAAAAAGTTTCAAACAATTGATTTTTTTCGAAAAAATTGATGCAAATTATATTTTTAATAATTGAATTTCTGTGAAAAATTTTCATTATTAAATGAAATAAATAAAATAAGTAAAATAAATAAAAATTATTTTAGAAAATAATTTCGATGAAAGTTCATTGACCTGCGTTTCTGTATATAATAAGAAAATTGTCACCGCAACAATCAGTTTGACTAATCACTTACAATAACCATGTTCGTGATTTTTAATTTTAATTTTAAACATTTAAAATATAGATTCAAAATTATTTTTTTAATTTTGTGTCTTTGACGTAATGTTTAGTGCAACCACTTTTAATTAGGTATTTGTTTTGAATTTGTTCAGATTTTAATAAAGTGACCTGATGATGGTGGCTAACCGTGCCTCCGAAACGTCGTCGTTAAAAAAGTGAATGTGTTTTATTCACCTGTCTTCCAAAAATCGACTACATAATTAACAAATGATATAAATATATATGGAAGAAAAAAATACTCTTTAATTATTCCTGAATATAATTGAATTTGAGCGAAGAAGTTTGCAATTTATAAAGATAATTGAAATGTTGACGAGAATTTTTTAAAAATTTTTAAAAATAATTGAATTTCTGGAAAGAATATTAATATTTATTAAGATAGTGGAATTCTTTTAAAGAATTGCGTTGGAATTTTTAAAATTCAAACTAATTTCAACAGAATTGAAATAGAAATTTTCCAAAAAAATTCTTCATTGAATGATTTATGAGCAATAACTTTATATATGGCAGTTCTTTAATAGAATTAAGTTAACTAAAATAAATTATTGTCAGAAATAGAAAAAATTTAAGGTTTTTTTAGAATTCGTGATAATTTCCATAGTTTATGAGGCAAACAAAAAGACACAAAAATTTAGAATTTTCTTATAAATTCTAAACATTTAATTTTTTCCAGTACTTTTGATAAAAATCCCAGACTTTTTCTGAATTCCCTATCTCAGAATATCTAATTATTATAATAATATTAAATTTAAAAGTTAATAAATACTAAATTAAAAGTTATAATAATATTAAAACTATATTCCATTTCATATTTTATTTTTATGAAAAAAAATTTAAATTAAAAATTTTTACATTCCATCATTAATGCTTTTTAATGTAACTATTAAAAAATTAAATATTTTATTAATTTAATCAACGGACCGTGTGTATATTTATATCCACATTTAGGAAGTAAATAAAAATAGACGAGATGTAAAATTAAGATTTTATTGAAATATAAGGAATCTGTACCAGACAGAACTAAAATTACTGTTGGATTTGGTACTACCGGGGTTCACGTTATCGGATAATATGCCTGCGTAGTCATTGCAATTATAATTCTCCATTTCGAAATGGCGAAATTATCATTTACACGGATCAATTGTCGGTAAGTACAGAAAAACAATGACCAATTTACGCACAGTCTATCTCGTAAGTCTAAGACCTAAGAAAGAATTTTTCAAATTATCATTCTTTATCAGTATTTCGCGTTTCTTTATTTCTGTTTTTCTTTTTCGGACTAAATATACTGTATTCTATTTATTTACAGTGTTGTTGCCTCAGCGCTCTACTTATTTTTTTACTTTTACTGAATTTTACGTCCATTTTTTTTTGTTACATTTTTGACTATTTACAATCCTTCATTTTTTTACAAGATTCTAGTTGCGAATTTACATTATTTCGACTCAGCTTTTTTTTACAATCAAAATGTAAATTTTGCAATTTGTCAGATTTTAAAACAAATTCCTTATTTACAAACACGGGATAACTTGAGAAGTGTTCCCAGTTTTTTTTTTTAAACAAAGAAAAGATATCGAACCACGAGGTTTCTTAAGAAACGAAAAATATCCAAGTGGAAGATTACATTTTGATATATTATCACTATTTTGGAATAATGATACTTTTTTGGTCAACAAAAGAAATTTTTTGTTACAGAAAAACATAATGATTAAAAATTTTCTACTTTTAAAATTTAAAGTATACTTTGTAAAAAATAATTCTTTTTCATTTTCCTAAAACGGAATTCAATTGAAATTTTATATATTTATTATATAAGTAATTAAAAAATATTTCTCTACAATTTAAAATCGAACAATAAATAAGTATAATTCAGAATGAAACGTTATTTACAATAAAAACGAACTGTCAAAATTTAATCTTTAATATTTTTTTTAAAAATTTGCGTCATTTTTTTTATAAACTTTAATGTATCATGATAAAAAGAATTTTGTCTCTTTAAATCAATACAACTACTTTTTGTATTTTACTATTTAAAGATTAGTAAAATATTCTTTTGAGATATAATCAACAGTGCGAGGGCCTCTCAAAAAGCATTCCAATGGAAGCTGTCGAAAGAAAAGACGGAGAAGGCTTTTTAAATTTCAAAACTTGGAAGTTAAGATTAATCTCACGTTGTCAGGGAAGAAACTTTATCTTGAAAATGCTTCTAATTTCGGTGATAAAAGAAAATTGAAAATTAACTCTTCTCTTATCCCTTGAACAAAAAAAGTTATTTCACTTTTCGAAATTCAAAACAAGAACCTTTGACATTTTTTTCCTTCTATTTCTACATTTGAATTTTGCGATTTTTAACGTTTATCAATTTTCTTACTGGTTTCCTTTTTTGATTAATTTACAATTTCTACTATTATTTTTAATTTACTAAAAATTTTCCAAATGATCAATTTTTATTAATAATAATAATCAATTCTTTTCACTGGGATATTAATTTTGTTGATCAATTTTGTTTCTTTTTATTAACAATCGTTGAAAATAATGTATTTAATTTTTTATTTATTCAAAATAATCTAAATCGATTATTTATTCTCTTGTAAGATTTGTATCAGTTTTGAAGAAAAATTCTCCACTGTTATTGAATTTCGAAAAGTTAATAAAACGAATATTCGAAGTGAGGATAATTTTACTATGAATGCAAAATTTAAAAATTTAATTCAAGGGATAAAAAAACAATTAGATCGAGTATTTTGGAATAATGACATCGATGATCTCAATGAATTCTGTTTAAAATTAGAAGTGATTCTTTGTGCAATCATAAATGAATTACTTGACTTAAAAACGGTGCGAAAAGGAATAAATAGTATTTACAATGGAAAAAATAAACAAAGAGAGAGAGAGAGAGAATACGACACAAACTAAACAATTCGATAAAACGGATATTTTTGTTTTAAAACACGTCGCTCTTAGGATCTCTTTCTCGGAAGAATCCCTTTTCAGTCTTGCACTCCCTAATGGTAACGGTCTTTAGATTAACAGTAACGTCAGTGATGAAAACCTGATCGGCAACAGGATTTCTCGAGTGCCAATAATCGGTGCCGGGACTAGTTAACGGGATGTACAAATCAGACGTGACGAATTCATTTGCTTTGACTTGATTTTGACTGGCGTTATTGTTGTTATTTGTATTGTTATTGTTGTTGTTGTGATGACCGTTGACCATTGTGGGTAACCTGTTGTTGTTGGTGTACGAGTCCGTGGGACTCGGTGATTTATGTCCGTTTGTATCAGTCGTTAGTGGACCGTTTAATTTCTCCTGTGAACGATGATCGTGACGTGTTTTTGACGTTGTCGTTGTCGTCGTTGTTGTTGTTGTCGATGACGACGATGGCGCTGTTTCGACGGTGGTTTCGATTTGTGTGGACAATGGCGTCTGTGGTGTGCGCGGCAACGATGGCGAAGGACCATGAGGCACATCAGCTTCGGGCCGTTTCTTGTCCTCGGCTGCTGGTGCCGGTGTCGTTGGCATTGCCGGTAATGGTTCCTCCGGTGTCGATTTCACACTCGACGACGACGGCCGCCTTCCGTTCACCTTGTGATTCTATAATGAAAGGAAAAAAATTAATTTTCTTTTAATCTAGAGGCCAATTTTTAACAATTATTTATTTTAGTTAAAAATTAATTTTCTTTTAATCTAGAGCCTAATATTTAACAATTATTTATTTTATTATTATTATTTTATTATTTGAGTAGAAGAAGATTTTATCACTCGGTTGTCATTACCAATAAAAATAACCAAGTTGAAGTCCACAACGTTGATCAACGAAAAAAAATTTTTCACTTTGTAAATTAATTAAAAATGACGCAGCAATATTGACACAAAAATATTTAGAAAAAAAGATTAATGTTCATATTTTGCTAATAATTATTTTACAATTAAATATTAAATTAAAAATAATACTTGAATGCATTAAATAAATTTTTTTCGTTGATAAACGTTGTGGACTTCAACTTCGTTAAAAATATGAAGTTCAGGCATCACAGTACCTTTTATCCTCAAAAAAGGTGAAAAGAGGAATTTTTTTTCTCAAAAAGGGGACAAAAAATATACAAAAATATAAACAACAAATTAAAATATGTTAAAGTTACATTAACAATGTATTAATTATTTATATATTTATTTAAATTCATTAACAATGTACTTTATTATTAATAAAATTTTCTGGAAGAACAAATATTAGTTTTCAAGGAAAAATAATTAAAACCTACAAAAATTTATTTGTTCATACAACAAACTTGCATATATAATTCAAATTTTTTATCATATAGCTTCTAAATAGAATTTTTCTAAAATGATTCGATTTTAATTAGGGTTGCCAAAAAAATTTAATTTTGTTTTCCCTGATTTCAAGACAAAATTTTGACTTTTTCCATGACCCTAAAAAATATTTTCATTTACTCTAAAAATTATTAGATACTCAAAAAAATATTCTATCGCATTTATTTACAAATTTCTTTAATTGTCAAATTATTCGAAAACATGAATAACTTCTTTTTTAATCATTAGGTAATATTTTTTTTATATAGGAAAAAAGATTTTCAGAAATTTCAAATTTGAAATTCAATTACTTGAAATAATATTATTATAAAACAAGAAGAAATGGATCACTTCGAGTCGAAGACTCCGAGAGATCAATTTCTTCTTGTTTTATAATAATTAAAAATAACCGAGTGATAAAATCATTATTTTAAATTATAAAAATATTGTTACTGTAACTTCTTCAAAATTATTTTCATCATTTCAATTTAATGTATTACTATATTTTCTAGAATTTCTATCTAAAATTTATAAAACCATTTGTTTACAATTTAAGTTTACAGAAATTTCAATTATTTGAAAATTCTTTAATTAAATATACATTAGAAAATAAAAACTTCAAATAATATAAATAGAAATTCAATTAAACTTTTTCAAAAAAATTAATTCTACAGAATTGTTAGTTGAAAGTATGAAACATTCAGATTTTCAAAGATTTTAATAAAGCTTTTAATATTCAATTATTATCTAAAATTTTAACTGAAATTCATTTTTAAATCAATTTTTATTAGAAAATTCTACGAGAATTCAATTATTTAAATAGAAAAATAAGAATAATATTTAAATATTATCAATTTAAATAATTTAATTCTTTTGACGAATTTTAACAAAATTTTTAAAAATAATTAGGGGAGGGTGGTCCCATACCGACCCCTTAAAGTGCAAAGGCTAAAAATGTGCCAAAAATGTGTTTCTTTGTCTTCGTCAAAATTTTTTTGAATAAAGGAACTATTCTTTAATGTTTTCTGACGGTTGCCGAGGTTTCTGATTGTCATTAATAAAAGATCTAAAGAAAAAGCGAAAATTTACGTTTTTAACTTTTTCAAAATGGGTGGTCCGAAACCGTCCCCCCATTTTTTTGGGGAAAATCTCAAGAATAATCAAGATATAAAATTTTGATAGTAATTAAAATAAAATTCAACAGTCTGTAATGAACTGTTAAATTATTTTGACTTCATTTAAATACATTTTTGGACCTTTTTCCAAAAGAGTTAAAGTTAAGTAATAAATGCTGTGATTGTTAGTAAAATATTTTCTAAATTCCTAAAAAATAAAAGTAAATATGCAAAACCTATCCTCACTTCATGTGAACAATAAGGAAGAAGAGAATAAACAATTACAATGTAAAAATATGGGGGTCGGATTGGGACCACCCCCACTATTTTCACAAAATGTTTTGCCAATCACTTATATCAATGAAATCAATTTAATTTGAATGTTGTGCGTTGAAGTTAAGGTCATACACAATCAAAATTAATTTCGTAAAAATTTTCCTGTATTAAAAAAACACTGTTAGCTCGAATTCCGTATAGGTCAAAAATTAATTTAAACAATGCTAAAATCTAATATTGCTTGAATCTTCAAAATGAAATCAAATGCATTGATAAAACCTGTGGCCCAGTTGTTGGTGTTGTGAAAGTGTTCGACTGATGGTACTGACGAATTTTTTAGTGGTACCATCTTCAAGAAACATAAGGGGGTCGGTATGGTACGAGGGGTCGGTATGGGACCACCCTCCCCTACATTTTTTGAGGAATTTTTTACGTTTGAATTTGTAAATTTTAATAATAAATAATCATTTTTACTAATAAATTAGTAAAAATTACTATTTATTAGTAAAATTTTCTAATTCAAAAGCAAGAAACCCTTTTTTATAACATTTTTGAAGTAATGTATGTAATTTAATTCACAAATTAAAACTACATATGGGCAATTCCACGTGAGATTTTACATTTTAGTCGACCTCTTAAAATTCGCCAAAAATATTTTTTTTCTATTCTGTATCGAAAAAAAACAGATACGTATTTTTTTATTTTTGTTTAATTATTGTCCAAATTTCCGAGTTATGAATTTTCGAAATTTTGGACTTTTAATTGCAGACCTATATTCAGTAGCTTATAAGTCCGAAAATATTGAGTTTAGGAAAAAGTTGTAAAAGAATGAAAGTTGTAGTTTTCTTTCAAATTTTAAGAAATGTAAACAAAAATTTTTTTTTTAAATTTTATATTAGAAAAAAATTTTTTTTATAAACAAATTAATTTTTTTTAACTTTGGGTTGGATTTTTTTTTATTTTTTTTAAATTTATTTATACCTTATAATATAGAGAAGATTTTCCAAAAAGTCCCGAAATGGGCCTGATGTGTTAAATGAGTTTTAAAACATTTTCAAAAATCACTTGCAAGCTTCACAGTGGGATTTTTTTACAATTAACTTTTTAAAACTGTCTACAGCGTATAATTTTTAATCTATTTGAGTGTTCTTTGTTTTAAATTAAAGGGTCTAAGCTGTAGACAGTTTTAAAAAGTTAATTGTAAAAAAAATCCCACTGTGATGCTTGCAAGTGATTTTTGAAAATGTTTTAGAACTCATTTAACACATCAGGCCCATTTCGGGACTTTTTGGAAAATCTTCTCTATATTATAAGGTATAAATAAATTTAAAAAAAAAATAAAAATAAATCCGGCCCAAAGTTAAAAAAAATTAATTTGTTTACAAAAAAAAAAATTTTTTTTAATAAAAAATTTAAAAAAAATTTTTTTGTTTACATTTCTTAAAAGTTGAAAGAAAACTAAAACTTTCATTCTTTGACAACTTTTTCCTAAACTCAATATTTTTGGACTTATAAGCTACTGAATATAGGTCTACAATTAAAAGTCCAAAATTTCGAAAATTCATAACTCGAAAATTTGGACAATTAAACAAAAATAAAAAAATACGTATCTGTTTTATTTTCGATACAGAATAGAAAAAAAATATTTTTGGTGAATTTTAAGAAGTCGACTAAAATCTCACGTGAAATTGCCCATATATATTAAAAGGAATTGAATTATTATAAAAATATTATTAAAATTTTTAAAAATAATTAAATACTTTTGAAGAATTTTATTAAAAGTTCTAGAAATAATTCAATTCTTCCAAGAAAATATATTAAAATTGCATTTGAAAAAATAATAAAATTTATGCGAAGAAATTTATTATTTACAAAAATAATTGAATTCTTTCAAGGAATTTTATTAATGTTTGCGAAAATAATTAAATTCCTGCAAAGAATTTTGTAATGTATGAAAATAATTAACTTCTTTCGAGGAATTCATTCAAATTAAATATTGAAAATAATTTAATTCTCGTAAACAATTTTATCAACAAATTTTTAAACAATAGAATTTTAATAACAATTATTTATAAAAATAATTGAATTCCTAAAAATAATGTTATTATTAATGAAAATAATTCAATCTCATCTTTAAAAAATTTTGTTTTATGAAAATAATGGAATTATTGGGAAGAAATTTATAAAATTTTTAAAAATAATTGAAATTTTTCCAAGATTTTTGAAAATAATTGAATTTGGAAGAAGAATTTTATTATTCATAAAGACATTTTACATTTTGACAAGAATTTAAAAAAATTTTTTAAACATAATTGAATTTCTGCGAAGAATTTTATTACTTTTGAAAATAATTGAATTTCTGTAATCATTTGTAATTTCTTCAAAATTCAATGTTTTTTTTAGTATTTTAAACTAAAATTCTTCTGTAAATCTATTATTTCAAATAATTAATTAAATATGTCTTACAAATTTAACTAATTTATAAAAAATTCCAATTATTAAAATTTTTCAAAAATCTAAGTTCTTTAATATTTCTAATTAAATTTTTTAAGATTAAAATGTTTTAAAATTTCAAATTGAAACCTTTTGAAGTTCATCTATTTATGAAAATTGTAAACGGAACTCTTTTAAAATTGAATTAATTTTTAAATATTTCTAAGTAAAATTATTCATTAACCCGCTGCCTACTCATGTGACCGTTATCGTCTAAAATCGTCTATTTGGACGCCTGGTGGGGACTATGGGAATTACATTCAAAAGCGCTAGAGTGGGGATAAGTCAGCGTAGGCAGAGGGTTAAATAATTTCTAAGTAATAATTTTATGATAGTTCTTCAAGAATGAAGTTATTTAAAAAGAAATTATTGTCAGAAATAGAAAAAGTTTCAATGTTT